TTTTTTATTTTTATTTATAATTTATAAAAAATATTATTAATTAAATAATTTTATTTATACTGTATATTTATATAAAAAAGTAATTTTATTTATTATTATTTTATTTATTATTTTCAATAATTAACTTTTTTAATTTAAAATCAAATTATAAAGAATTTAATTTTTTAAATAAAAATAAAATAAATTATTTTAGTAAATTTATATTATAATAATATTAAATAGATAATTAAATATTTACCTTCTTCTCCTATTTTTAAATAAAATTTATCATGTCTTTTTTTCTTGAAATGATTATTAACTTGCGGTTTTTTTCCTTTATATTATAATTACATATTTAATTTATATTATTTTATTAGTAATTTTTTTAATTTATAATTCTTACCACTTGTTAATGATGATGCTTTTGATGCTTTTGATGCTATTACTGTTTTTTCATTTAATGCATTTTCTAATGCTGTTATAGTTTTTTCTGCTATGGTTAATTCTTCTTCAGCTTCTTTTGCTGTTAAATCATTTTCATTTCTGTCTGCAACAGCAACTGCAGTAGCAGACTTTTCTATTGTAGACCTTGTTATAATCATTTCTTCAGATTCTTCTAAATCTTTATTTTTTTTTCGATTGATATAGTCCCGACGATGATTTAAATATTTTTTTATAATTTCTTTAATAAGCCATCCTCCTTGTCCAATATTAATATTTGCATTTCGTTTCTTAAACTATATATAAACAAATTAGTATTCTTATTAATTCAAAATAAAATCATATATAAAATAGCAATTTTACTTTTTCGATAATTTTAGATATTTTTAAAATATCTTGATCTTTATAAGAAATTGCAAAATCTATTTGCAAATATATCATACAAAAATGAACTTCAGACTAAAAATAAAAAATATTAAATAAGTAAAAATAAAATTTTTTAATATAACTTTATTTATATTTACCAAAATATTATTATATTCTGCTTTTGTAAATCTAAATAAATTCAAAATATCGATACTTTTGATATATTTTTTTTTTGGTTTAAAGATATTTTGAACAGAAGTTTGAATTGGAGTTGGAGTTAGAACTAAAGTTGAATCTGGGATTGAAGTTGAATTTGGAGTTGGAGTTGAAACTGGATCGGTTAGATTTGAAGCTGAAAAATCAGAATTATTTTTTAAATTTTCTAACATTTCTTGATATAGTTTAATTTGTTTTTGTAAATTTTCGATTATTTCTGATGATGATGACATTTCTAATAAATTTTATTTGTGTATTTTAATATTTGGTATTTAAATTTATAAAAAAAAAAAGAAAAAGAAAAAAATAGAAAAAAGACGATTATTTATATTTTTTATGCAGATCTTTAATTTAAGTTTACATTGTTATGCAGATTTTTCTATTTATATTAATGTTATTGTTTATAAACAATAAAATCGCGTTAATAAAGAAATCACGTATTATATTTTATAAATAAAATCATGTGATATTAATTATATAAAAATTATCGCAATGGTAATTTTTTAATATAAAGTATTTATTAATAAAGAAAAATTAGACAATAATAAAAAAAAGTAGAAAAGTTATTTTAATAATAATTATATATAATTTTATTATTAATAAATTAAACTTCATTATACAAATATTTACTTAAATAAAATACCATAGAATATCTATTTCCTAAAACAAGTGAATTCATATGTGATAAAAGAGCAGATCTTAATAATATAATATATCCTGAATCTATTTGCATTACAATTC